CCACCTCAAGAAGTCTCTCACAGAAGGGTGAGTTGGTCACAGAACGGGCCCCCACCAACTTCAAGGAAATGTCCGTGCAACGATGAGGCACTCTGCAAAGCACACACGACCCCCAGCCCCGCAGCTCCTCCCTCCTGGGTATTATTCTGGCTCCAAGAGACCCGAGGCTTAGCTGGAGCTGTCGTTGTGCATGTGAGGAAAAAACCGAAAAAACGGATGATGCTTTTCCCTCCTTCTTGTTCCGTGTCCTGAGAATTTGGCTTCTTGACCAGTGAGAATATTCTCCTTGGTCTCCACCATATAGAAGGTGCATTTACCGGGGTGTACGTTGGTGGCCAGTCAAACAGACTGGGGTTCTGAGCTCTCTCTGTCTGGCTGTGCCAAGCTCTCAGGGGAGTTTGTCATAAAGGGCCAAGTCCATAAGGGCTTTGTTGTCTCAGCCTTCTTTGCTGGATAGTGCTGGAAAAATCCCATTCCAGTAGCACCTGCCCCGTGTCACGGATTAGTGGGTCTGTGACTGGAGGCGTCCCACACTCTCGTGGGGGACCAGAGACACCGTTTTCGCTACACCATCCTTACCGCCTGTGCAACGAAGGTCTTTCCTTTCTCTGAATATTTCTGGGAGTGAACTTTTGGATCATGGGGGCTCCATCATCCGTGCCCTCTCCAGGGACGCCTCTTGTGTCCATGGTAAAGGTTTATCCTAAGCCTGGAAATTTACTTCTGCATCTTTCCTTAAAAAGGCTTATTGGGTTGAGTCACTATTGGAGTAAATATACAAACAGAGATCCTACTCGTCAATGGCCAGACGATGGATTGTTTGAATTGGAAAAACTTCTACATTTGAAAACTGTTTTAGAGAGCTCTCATAACAAGCAGCTGCCTTATTGGTATTTATGGGAAGATCAAATTGAAAAGAAAACGGAAAAAAGCATAACGGCTAGCCTTAAGGAATCTCTCAATAAATTAAAAGAACAGAAGTCAGACTTAGAGCGAAGATTAAAAAGTGAATTCAATGAGAATTCCTTCTCCCCCGTCCTGTGCTCCCCTATGTCCCCAACTGCCTGTCCCCGATTCCCCAGAACGTCTGTTGGATCTCTGGGCCCCGGGTTCAAACCCTCGCCCTCAGGACTGAGGTCCCCAGCCAGCTCCCTTAGATCCTAGGACTCCAGCTTCGCCACAGGGCATTCAGCTGCCTGCTTTAACTTCTCTCTCAAGAAGACTTCCGGGGGCACTCAGGCCTGACCTCCAAGTGAGGTGCGTACAGGTTAGTTGTGTAAATGCTGAAAGCCAGGAAGCGAATTTGGCAGAAGCGGCCAGAAAAAGCAGAAAGGTTTACTCTGCTGTCCCTTGTAAATCTTCCTACTTTCCAAGGCTCTGTCCTCGGGCTCCGCCAGCTTCAGGGGCTCCTATGCAGTGTCCATTGCTGATGTCTCCTGGACCCCCGCTGCAGAGAATTCGCGTGCCCTGGACAGCACCCGATCTATGGAATTATAAACCTCTCCTGCCTCCGTCGTCAGAAGACCCTACTAAGTTTAGAGAGGAATTAGAAAGATTGGTGGCTGTTCATAACCCCACCCACAGAGAGCTTGACTGGCTGCTGAGGGGGGTTCTTCCAGCCCAGGATTACGCTGTAGTTATCAGACAGGCCAGACAATCCCCTGGAGAAAACTCCCCTCACGGGGGAGACAGAGGGCCAGACCCTTTCCCAGATCCTCCTACAAATGACCAGAAAGTGGCCCAAGTAGACGCTGATTTAATAGGAGCGATTTTAGAGGCCTTTCCTCCCAAAGTTAATTGGTCAAAAATTGAATTACGTACTCAGAATGAAGGGGGACGTTTGATACAAACTTTCCAAAAGCACACTGCCTTAAACCCGGAAGCCCCAGAGCGCAGGAATCTCCTCATTTCTGCTTCAGTTGGAAACTTTCTTCCTGATATAAAAAAACAAATTCTAAATAGTGTGGTTGCCTGGTCAGGCAACCGTAAAGCGTAATAATGGAGGCTGCTGCACAATTCTTCGAAAATAGTCAGCAGGACAGCAAAAGAAAAAGAGAATTAAAGACCTCTCTTCTCGCTTCACAAGTTGAATGTTTTGAGGAGCAAAAAGGCAACCCTGAGAGTAAACTAAAGCCCGCTCAAGGCCTCCCTATTGGCCCCCGGACACTTGCAGGTCTTGCAAGAAACCAGGGTATTGGGAAAGAGAATGTCCTGCTCTTAAGAGAAGGGAAAGTTTAAAAAATGTCCCCGCCTGGCCCCAGAACCCCCAGAAGCCTCGTTTTTCTCCTCCTGAGGGGCGTTTCTCCCTTAAATGATGGGGTCCGCCGATCCTCAGCCGCTCCCCTGAGCCACCATTAACCTTAAAATAGAGGATCAGAAACTGAATTTTTTAGTTGACACTGATGCAACTTTCTGTACTATTTGTTCGAAGGATTTACGTCTGCCTGTCACCTAGATTCTATTGAGGCTGTGGGGGGCTCTGGGCAGCTGTTTCACTGCCCGTATCTCAGCCCGCTCCAGGATCTTTAGGCCCCTGAACACTCATCATGCCTTTCTGGTCTCTGACTGGTCACCAGCAAACCTCTTTGGCAGAAATTTATGTAAATTTAATGCCACTATAAATCGTAATGAAAAAAGTGTTTCTATCTCCTTACCCTCTGACCAAACCCCGAGTCTCCTACTTTCCTTGCTAGAAACTCGTCCTGATTTAAATTCTTCTGAAGAGGATGAATCTTTAAAAGATGTCCCAATTAGTCTCTGGGCTACACATGCAGATGAGGCAGGATTGTTGCTTAGTGCGGAACCCATGCGCATTACTTGGAAGAAGAATAAAGCATCTCCACCAGCAGCCCAGTACCCGCTCTCCGGAGATGCAGAGCAAGGAATTGAACCCAGAATAGACCCCCTTTTGCAACAGGGTAGACTAGTTTTTGCTTCCTCACCCTGTAACTCTCCAATCTTGCCAGTAAAAAAAAGAAGGCATATTTGACTCAGATGGAAACCAAATCTATAGATTTGTACAAGACCTCAGAGCTGTAAACTCTTTGTAATCCCTGTGGTCCCCAATCCAGCTGTCATCCTGACGTCAGTTCCTGCTGACGCAGCCTGGTTTACAGGCATTGACCTCTGCTCTGCTCTCTTCTCAATCCCATTGCACCCTGACTCACTTTCTTTTTGCATTTACGTTTAAAGGGAGACAATTAACATGGACTCAGGGATATTGTGAGGCCCCTCAGTATTTTCCCAGGTCCTTAAAGCTGACTTGGATTCTGCAGCCCTTACTCAAGGCTCCACTACTGCTCAGTCTGTGGATGACCTTCGACTCTGTAATCAAACTGAGCAGGGAGCCCTCACAGGCCCCTCACTCTCCTGAGGGCACTAGCTGAACGAGGCCATGAAGCCTCCAGATCTAAACTTCAGTGGGTGCAAATGACTGGTACCTGCTTAGGGCATGAGACATCTCAGGGCATTCCAAAGCCAACCCCCAAACGCCGTGAGTCAATTTTGTCCATTCCTCTCCCCAAAACGAAAAAACAATTATGCAAATTTCTAGGGGCAGCTGGTTACTGCAGCCGATGGATTCCTAATTCTGCAGCCCTTGCTAAACCGCTGTATGCTCTTCCCCCGGATATCACTCCAGAGCCTATCTCCTGGCCTTCAGAGGCATCACCCTCCTTCGAAGCCTTACAGTTAGCTCTGTCCACTCCTCCAGCTCTCGGTTTACCTAATTTTGACAAACCTTTTCATCTACACTGTCATGAAAATAATGGAATTGCTGCAGGCATTCTGGGACAATCTTTTGCCTCTCAATTGCACCCTATAGCATACTTCTCATGCCAACTAGACCCTGTGGCATGAGGTGTGCCCCCATGCTTACGTGCGGTGGCCGCAGCTGCCACCCTGATTGACAAAGCCAGTACTTTACCATTAGGCTCTCCCATTCATCTCTGTGTCCCCCATGCTGTGTCCGCTATCTTGCAAGTACGTAAGACCCAACGCCTCTGTACACGGCGACAGGCCACCTGTGGGCAGGCTCTTTTAACCAACCCTTCCGTCATCTTACATCGTTCTAACATTTTAAATCCAGCTACTCTGCTGCCCCTCCTGAGGATGGAGAGCCCCACTCCATCCCACATGATCGCCTCGAAACTACAGAAGTGGTCTCAACGCCACGAGAGGATCTCTCGGACATCCGTTTAGACAATCCAGACTGACTTCTGGTTTGTGATGGCTTCTGTAAGTGAAATTTCCAGGGAAACATAATAACTGGTTATGCCATAGTTTCCCACGTGAAACGCTTGAAGCTTATTCTTTGCCCACTGTAAAATCAGCCCAAGCTGCTGAACTCATAGCTCTTACTAGAGCCTGCACATTAGCAGAAGGAAAAGCTGCCACTATTTACACAGACTCCAGATACGCTCTTGGAGTCTGCCGTGCTGTGGGCACAATTTGGAAATCCCATGGATTCTTAACTTCTGCGGAATTCCTGTTGCTAATGGACATTTAATTGCAGCCTGATTATAAGCTCTTCTCCTCCCTTCCAAAATTGCCATTGTTCATGTTCAGCCCATACGAAGGGTGACGGAACAAGAGTGCAACACCACCATGCAGACTTTGAGAATACTCCAGCCAGAGACGAGCAGCCGAGCCTCTGTGGTCCTCCACAATCGACGTGCTCTGGATACGCAGACTGCCCAGCAAGGAGGAGCCTGGGCATCATCGCTGAAAAATGTTGCTTTTATGTGAATCAAACTGGGCGAGTAGTATCTAACTGATATCTATTAAAAGAGAAGATTGACGTTTTCCATCAGATAAATGAAGCCCACACATTTTGTAGGACAGACTTATCTCCAGGATTGGGGAGCCGGTTTAACGTAGTGTGGGGAAATATGCTACCGTTTGTCCTTTTCTGCTTGTTTATCCTCATTCTGCTCTATGGTCTTTTCTCTCTTTGCAGATTTCTTACCACTTGGCTACTAACTCGATTTTTCTCTCCGCAGTCACCAGCTCAGCTTTTAATTTGTGAAACTTCCAGGGAGGTTTCAGAGGATGGAACTGATGGGGTTCAGGGCCGGCCGCCCCGAGATGCGCCACTCTGGTATGCGGACTATTTCGAGCTGAAGACAATGAAGGCTCAAAGGCTCAGGAAGAGCATCCGACCCCATCACCCCCCCAAACTGCCTAAAAGACTTCAGCACAGGAGGCCTGTTCCAGGACGGAGCCCGCACCGTGGGAGAGCTGTAGCAGGATGGAAACTGTGATAAAAGGACACCAACAAGCCCATTTTTGGGGCCCAGCAAAACCCGTTTAACAAACGTTGGCGTTCCATCTCTATGTAAATTGTCTTCCTCCTCTTTGAAGCCCCAAATCACTGTCCCCAACATCCTCCTTGTCTGTGGCTGGACACTTAAACAGGCAGCCTCGGCCAGACCGCTGAGTTACTCAGTTTCTTCTGGGTTTCTCTCGTGTACACATGCTATTAAACTTTGATTGATTTTCTCCTGCTAACCTGCCTCTTGATTATTTGACCAGCCGTAAGAACCTTAAGGAAAAGGGGGGCATTCTCCCACTTCCCCAACAGGGACAACTAGCCAAATTCCCATTTGAACATAAGAACAATTTTTCCAGGGAATGTCGTGCCCTAGAAAAACAGAAACATCCATATCCAAAGATGAGGGGCACAGTGGGCACTCATCTCTTCCCTTCATTGACCCTTGACCTGTGCGGGCTGAGGGTCCCCGTTTCCTCTGAGCGGGTGAGTGAGACATACAGCTGGCAGTTGAGCGCACCACTGCCACCCAGGTATGTTGCCAGCCATCTTCCTCTCAGATGGACAGACCTTTAAATATCTTTAAGAGATGAGCTATTTCCAAAAGTTGAACAAAATGCTAAGCACACAGTTATAGACACTCAACCGATGTCTCTGGAATAAATGAGCGTTATCTTCTTTTCACCATCAACTCCAAACACTGACTTTGGGAAAACTATCCAAGATTACTAAAGCAGCTTCAACTTTCAGCGCACACACAGCTGGCCGCTCACTGGTGTCTTTTTAAAAAAAAATTTGTTACAATACACATGACATAGTTTGCCATTTAACCATATTTGAGTGTAGAGTTCAGTGGTATTAAATGCATTCACCTCGTTGCGCAGCCATCACCACCATCCATCGCCGTAACTCTTTTCATCTTGTAAAACTGAGACTCTGTCCCCATTAGACAATAACTCCTCATTCTCCCCTGCTGCAGCCCCTGGGCCACTATTCTACTTTCTGCATCTGTGTGTATGGCTACTTTAAGTACCTCATATAAGTGGATTCCTACAGTATTTGTCTTTTTGTGACTGACTTTTCACTTAGCGTGATGTCCTCGAGATTCGCCCGTGCTGTATCATATTACAGAGTTTCCTTCCTTTTTAAGGCTGAATAAGCTTCCATTGTGTGTATGCGCAGGTTTTCCCTGCTATGTAACGGTGAAGCGTTCCTATGAAGCCCTTTGGAAGCCAAAATGACTTAGGGTGAAGAAGCAATTTTCATTAATTTATATGGGGAAAATTTTTGAGCATTCCCAGACCCAAATAATAACCTCCCAGAATAAAGGGAGATAAAGCACAGATGCGCATGGGCACAGTTCACAGCTGTGGCTGCTGCATGCTGAGGTGCCGAGTGCGGTTCCCAGGAAAGGAGCTTGGCGCGCCACCCTCACTGCGCAGGGTGTGAGCTGCCCCCGTGACAGCTCACTGCAAAACGAACCCTGAATGCTATTTTCTATTTCTTTCTCTCTCTTTTCTTTTTTGGTGAGGTAGACATGCCCTGAGCTAACATCTGTGCCAAACTTCCTCTATTTTGTATGCGGGACGCTGCCACAGCGTGGCCACCAGCGAGTGGGGTAGGTCTGCGCCCAGGAACCAAACCCGGGCTGCCAAAGCGGAGCGCACCAACCTTAACCACTAGGCCACAGGGCCGGCCCCTGAATGCTATTTTTGCTTTTTGCCTTTTTTCCTAAAAGCATAAATCCTCTTTGGATTTCTTTAGGTTAGCGAAAATGGGTGCTAATGTAGGTCTTTTGTTAAAATGAAATCGCAAAAAGGGAGCTTTCAGATAGAGGGGGAACCTATACCACATTTTACTCATCCATTCATCAGTCGTGGACACTTGAGTTGCTTCCACATTTTAGCTATTGTAAATAATGCTGCTATGAACATGAGCATACAAATATCTCTTGGAGAACCTGCTTTCAAATCTTTTGGGTATACACCCAGAAGTGGAATTGCTGGGTCATATGATAATTCTATTTTAATTTTTTGAGGAACCTCCAGACTATTTTCCACAGTGGCTGCACCAGTTTACATTCCCATCGACAGTGAAAAAGATTCCGAGTTCTCCACATCCTCACTGACACCTGTTGTCTTCTGTTCTTTTGATAGAAAGATGGATGTGAGATGGTATCTCATTATAGTGTTGATTTGCATTTCCCTGATAACTAGTGATTTTGGTATCTTTTCATGTGCTTATTGGCCATTCGTATTATCTTTGGAGAAATGTCTATTCAAGTCCTTTGCCCATCTTTCAATCTGGTTTTTTGTTGTTGTTGAGATTTAGGAGTTCTCTGTATATTCTGGATATGAATCCCTAATCAGAAATGTGATTTGCAAATATCTTCTCCCATTCTGTTGGTTGTCTTTTTACTCTGTGCATAGTGTCGTTTGATGTACAAAGTTTTTAAATTCTCAAAGTCTAATTTCTCTATCTTTTTCTTTTTTACCTGTGCCTTTGGTGTCCTAGCCAAGAAACCATCGCCAAATCCCAAGTCAAGAAGCTTTTGCTCTATGTTTTCTTCTACGAGTTGTATTGATTTAAGTTTTACCTTTAGGTCCTTTATCCATTTTGAGTTAATTTTTGTATATGGTGTTAGGTAAGGGTCCAACTGTGTTCTTTTGCATGTGGATATCCAGTTTTCCTAGCACTATTTGTTGAAAAGACTATGCTTTCCCCATTGAATGGTCTTAGCCCTTTGTCCTTCTTTTTCAAGGTGGTTTTGGCTATTTGGAGTCCCTTGAGATTCCATATGAATTTTTGGATGAGTTTTTCTATTTCTGCAAAAAATGTCATTGTGATTTTTGTTTTGAGGAAGATTAGTCCTGAGCTAACATCTGCTGCCAATCCTCCTCTTTTTGCTGAGGAAGACTGGCCCTGAGCTAACATCTATGCCCGTCTTCCTCCACTTTATATGTGGGACGCCTGCCACAGCATGGTGTGCCAAGCGGTGCCAGGTCCGCACCTGGGATCGAACCGGTGAACCCCGGGCCGCTGAAGCGGGACGTGTGCACTTAACTGCTGCAGCACCAGTCATTGGGCCAGCCCTGGTCATTGGGGTTTTGATAGGGATTGCATTGAATCTGTAGATTGCTTTGGGTAATATTGACATTTTAACAATAGTAAGTCTTCCAATCCATGAACATGGGATGTATTTCCATTTCTTTATGTCTTCTTTAATTTCTTTCAGCAATGTTTTAAGTTTTCATTATACAAATCTTCACCTCCTTGGTTAAGTTAATTCACAAGTACTTTATTCTTTATGATGCTATTGTGAATGGAATTGTTTTTACAATTCCCTTTTCAGATCATTCATTGTGTATGGAAATGCAACTGTTTTGTGTGTGTTGGCTTTGTATCCTACCACTTTCCTGAATTCACTTGTTAGATCTAACAGCTTTTTTGGGGCCAGCCCTGTGGCTGAGTGGTTAAGTTTGTGCACTGAGCTTCAGCAGCCCAGGGTTTTGCCAGTTCAGATCCTGGGCATGGACCTATCATCACTCATCAGGCCATGCTGAGGCAGCATCCCACATCAGAGCCAGAAGGACATACAACTAGAATACACAAGTATGTACTGGGGGGCTTTGGGGAGAAGAAGAAGAAAAAAAGAAGATTGGCAACAGATGTCAGCTCAGGGCCAAACTTTAAAAACAAAATATCTAACAACTTTTTTTGTGGAGTCTTCAGGACTTTCTACATATAAGAGCACATCATCTGCAAACAGAAATAATTTTACCACTTGATTTCCAATGTAGATACCTTTTCTTTCTTTTTCTGGCCTAATTTCTCTGGTTGGAACTTCGATACTATGTTGAATAGAAGTGGTGAAAGCAGGCATGCTTGCCTTGTTCCTGATCTTAGAGGAAAAGCTTTCAGTCTTTCACCATTGAGTATTATGTTCACTGCAAGTTTTTCATATGTGGCTTTTAGTATATGAATGTAGTTTCCTTCTATTCCTATTTTGTTAAGTTTTTTCTTTTTTATCATGAAATGATGTTAAACTTTGTCAAATGCTTTTTCTACATCAATTGAGATGACTATGGGTTTTTCCCTTCATCTTGTTCACATGGCCTATTACATTCATTGATTGTCACATGTTGAACCATTCTTGCATTCCAGGAATAGATCCCACTTGGTTGTAGTGTATAGTACTTTTAATATGCTGCTGAATTCTGTTTGCTGGTATTTTGTTGGTGATGTTTGCATCAATGTTTATAAGAGTCTGTAGCTTTCTTTCCTTGTAGTGTCTTTTCTTTTTTAAAAGATTTTATTTTTCCTTTTTCTCCCCAAGAGCCCTGGTACATAGTTGTGTATTTTTAGTTGTGGGTCCTTCTAGTTGTGGCATGTGGGACGCTGCCTCAGCGTGGCCTGATCAATGGAGCCACGTCCGCGCCCAGGATCTGAACCAGCGAAACCCTGGGCCGCTGAAGTGGAACGTGCGAACTTAACCACTCTGTCACAGGGCTGGCCCCTGTAGGTCTTTTCTGTCTTGGGTATCAAGGTTATGTTTGCCTCATAGAATGAACTAGGAAGTGTTCCCTCCTCTTCAATTTTTTGTAAAAGTTTGAAAAGGATGGATATTAATTCTTCTTTAAATGTTGGTGGAATTCACCAGTGAACCATCAGGTCCAGGGCTTTTCTTTCCTGGGACTTTTTGATTACTGATTCGCTCTCCTTACTAGTTATAGGTCTACTCAACTTTTCTACTTCTTCGGGATTTAGTCCTGGTTGATTCTGTGTTTCTAGGAATTTGCCCATTTTCTCTAGGTTATCCAATATTTTGGCATACAATTATTCATTGTACTCTGTTATAATCCTTTTTATTTCTGTAGAATAGGTAGTAATGTCCCCACTTTCATTTTTCATTTTAGTAATTTGAATCTTCTCGCCTTTTTTCCCCCCTGCCCATCTACCTAAAGGTTGGTCAATTTTGTTGATCTTTTTGAAGAACTAACTTTTGGTTTCACTGGTTTACTCTATAGTTTTTCTATTCCTTATTTCAGTTATCTCTGCTCTAATCTTTGTTTGTTGTTTAATCTGTGGGCTAGAGTGAAGGGAAAAAAACACAAGAAGAAACAGCTTGCTTTCTTATCATTCAGGTTTCAGCTTCCCCGTGAGGCCAGTAGCTGTTCCTCAGCCTCCAGTGCAACATTGCCCTGCTCTCTCTCACTCCTGTCCCAGCCTATTCATAGCG